TTTTTTTTTAATAGATAGAGTAATTCAAGAGGAAGGTTTATATGTATAATACATGTATAATATAGTATATAAACACTGATAATTTTAGAGGTTTGTAATGTGATGTCGTAAATAAACACATTTTTTGCGCTTACATTGTATACGCTGGCTGAACCCTGCTACGAGATAGATCAAAATAATATACTACAGTATTGTACACCTTAAAGAGGTCTACAAAAAAGTCCGCGATGGTATATGTCTATCTCTTAGGGATAACCCACAATAACCATTTTTTATCCTTTACTTTTTACGAGAAATAATAGCTTATTTACGAAGCGATTTTAAGCAATACAGCATTAATCCTTATCTAATGAAGTACTTTTAAATACATTGTGCATTTAGTATAGATCACTATGGCCCTTTACAGCATGTAATTTAAATGAATATTTTCGAAGATATTACAGACCTAAAATGCAAGGACATAGCGGTTGCGGCGGTACCGCCCGGTTTGTATTGTCTAATGACAAAAAAGCTGTGATTGTTGTATATAAAGACATTCTATAGGATATTTACTATCAGCATTGCACCCGTGCGAAGCATAGTGTACAAACAATACCATTAAACCAATTCCTTAACCCCTATCCCGGTATGTTTGTGTGTTAGAAGAAGTTTCACTTCAGTAGCGTGTTGTGTAATTACATGTTGTATTTTTTTTTTTNTTCTAGGCAAGATTATATCGATACATAGATGACTTATGACTACTTTCATGCGAAACTGATGATTTTAGAAAAGAAAAATTTTAGTTAGGAATCTTGTTGCTGTGAATTGTCAAATCTTGGTCATACCTAAATATGGTTGCAAAGAGAAAATTAAGACAATAACGTAAGTACCTACCTATAATTTTAACAAATATTGTTCTTGTTAATTATTTAGCATATGTTATTGTAATGAATTAAAATGAATGATTTTGGTCGAAAAGATTTATAGTTTATTTTATAGACATAACTTGAAACTAAATGGGAAGGTTACTCGCTTGACGCACCGTTGATGTCTCTTTAGTAACTGTGAATTCTGGGCAAGACTATCGTCTATAGTCTATACATACGTGACTTATGACTACTTTCATGCGAAACTTTCCCTCATTAATTTGAGGTAGTTTATAGTGCGAAAAAGTTTAAATTAATTTTTCACATTAATATTTGATATCAACCTCTATTAAATGTTAAAGTGGTTCATGAAAATTTTAGTTCTTAACCCTCTCAACCCTCCGCCCTATTTACTACCCTGTAACTGCCACGCGATGGGCCTGAAACCCATTGGCGGATTTGCCCTAAGGCCCAGTAGGCCCGGGCCTAGGGCGATCAGATATTAAGGGCGGCAAATCGTACCAAAAAAAATCGCTGATGATAACAAATTCATGAATTATGTATCTAGTCTATAATATTTGGTGTTGAGAAAGGGGTGGCACATGGTCTGGGGCCGAGAGCGGCTAGAACTGCAAATCCGCCACTGCTGAAACCCTTAGGTATACTTTGTTTTGTTTCTCTAGCGATGTGACCTTCAGTTTGACCGGCGCAAAGTAGAAAAGAACAGCACTAGGCTAGAAAAGAAAGGAGAGAACTTTCGGTCAAACTATTAACCGGTGAGGAGCGTATAATCCGTACAGTACTGCACGTAAAAATTGACCATTTTATCCACTACAATTGCATTGCTCAAATGTGCTGTTATTGGTACCATTTACTACTGAAAATATCAACGAGATGTTTATTTATATTTGAAGACATATTAAAGGCTTTGACGCTTGTTTTCGACTAGCACTACTATTCATGATTGAACAAAACTTTTGGCAGGTACTGTATGAAAAACTATGTTTAATAAACAAGAGTCGAGAGTATAATTACCTACGATTTTGCCAGCGCGCATCCAAGACATTGGAAGGAGAACATCGCTAGAGAACGTAAATGAAGTATAGATTCATTATATGGTAAATGCATAAAGGCGAAATATCTATACAGTACAGGAACAGGATAATTTCTGCATCTATTAGATGCTGTAATATGTCTCATTTAACTACATAATGCATTACATTACATATCCATTTCATGAATTGAACAAAAAAATTGTCCAAGATAGTGAAATAAATTATTATTACACTGTCTGATTCCACTTCATGAACTGGACATGTAGTTTACGAAATGGACAATTATACGCCAAGTGGTTGCTATACATATAAAAAATATTTGTCGTTCAGAACTTTACGTATGTCGGTATATAAGTAGTTAGAGGTTAGTTATGTATATATGTAAGTATGTATAACTATGTATATTACTGATGCATATGGATTTTAATAAGATTTACCTAAAGTGTATATATGGAAATGCATGTACGGTATACAGAGTGAGGATAAATAAGAAAAGGCCTTTGAAATGGGATGTCTGGGAGGACCTTTTCGGATAGGATTTAACGGGTGTGGTTGCATAAATTCTACTTGTAATTATGTTTCAGACGTGAAGTCGATACTTTTTATTTTCGCGGCATGAATTTATGGTTTTTCCAGTTGCATCTGCGCCACATGTTTGTTGCATCAATGCCATTATTTCATCTCGATGTATACGCAAACACATCGTAAATAATAAATTAGGCTTGAACATCAATTTCTTTTGTCATTTCTTTTCTTCACTTTAACACAAGTTTGTAATAGATTGTGTATTACATGCAAAAAATATGTATAAAGATAAGAACAACGGTATTTAAACAAGAAACATTCGGATCTCTTTTCTTCTCCATCTCTTTTTCACATTGTTTAACCTTTTCTGAGCCTTTTTTAGGTCTTGTCATACTCTTCCTTTAATTATATTGGTAAGTATAATAATGGTGTAATAAGTAACTATATTAGATGTCGCAACCAATCTGAACGGTCTGGCATTTTCAACTGTAGTTTTACGGGAATGAAAAATACCCACTGGAATTTATAAGGGGCTTTGCCTTATGGGTTTTCCATATGGGTCTTAAGGGGCAAACCTAACACATGTATAAATCAGCCTTATATGGGCTCGATAAGGCAAATTCGTTTGAAAATTCTCTCGGTAAAATTAAAAACTTATAAAAAATGGTAACAATTCCCTTGCACAATTAGGTCGTCGTTTCAAGTAAATCTTTTACATTTGCAACGAATCAACAAGTGTACTTCCTGATATGTTATTATAAGACAACTGAAACCAGGCGCATCAAGTCGAACAATAGTAAAACGATTGGAATTTAATGTAGGTACAATTATTGTATTATTGACTACAAAAGATCCCAATAACACAATCTTACTTAAGAACAAAGAAATTTTACAAATAAGTGATGATATCCTATGTATTCCTCCAAATGGAGATATTAACGTATCCATGCGATGCTAAATATTTAAAAATGTACCTATAGTTTATGCAAACAATGAAAATGTAAAATCATAGATGTTGATAAAAAAATGGTTAGTGACGAAAGCAAAGAAGTAGTATGTGTTATACCATTGCTGCATATGAAAAAGTGAACTCATTCTCATTGGTATAATATATTTCTCATTCAATATTGTATTGTTGTATTGCATAGTTCGTTTTTCTCTTCTTTTTCGAACATTTTTCATTTTATATATTTTTTCCTAGTTTTTCCAATTGTGTATCCTTTTCTACATTATATTACCCTAATACTTAATATATGACATAATATTTGGCAATCTGACTGAACGTCTAGTTACCTGCCAGATAGAGAAACGTGGATTTCTTAGTTGCCTAGTCGTATGTCAAAATACCGTACCAACACCTACTACGTTCATGAATAATCCTGTTGAGTACAATAAAAGGCAGTCACTTCATTTGTTTGACGCCAATAATAAAAAATGTGAAATTTTTGTTCTTGTAATTACAATACAACAATCGCGATCAGAAAAAATGGATTTCAAGTTATTCCTTTCGATTGCACCATAATTATTTCGTCATAATACAGTGGTTTGTTCATCAAATGAAAGAAATTTTATTATAAGTAGTTGCTATATGATTTTTTTTAAAAAAATTCCAATTAAAGATCCGCTAGGTTTCAAAATAATTATAGTGGAATCAATAAACGATTTGTAACTAAAAATTCATGTTTTTTCTGTCAGTGTAAGTTACAAGAATTAAAAGAATCACTTATTCACTTTTTTAGTCATTGACGTCAAGCAAGTGAAATAACTGTTCTTTTATTGCTTCCAAGAAGACTCCTCATGAGCATAGGTAATATCGAAATTGTTATTGGATAAAAGGAAGTTACGTAGTAAAGGATCTTCTTTAGAACGTTAGGTATACTTAGACCTAGATATTGCGATACGAATCACGACAATGCCGTAACATATTAGACAGACAACAGGACATGACACCTGTCGATCTGTCGTTACGTCAATCGAGCGGCGTTATTACTAAGGTCTCGGAACACGATCGGCTGCATATTAACGCGGTTATTTAGACGCATACCTTTTAACCTAAACTTAGGGATAAAGTCTCACAGTTGCATGCATTTGTCATCTCCTGTTACATATAAAAACAAAGTGATCCTCGACTCTGACAGAGAAGGAACACCACAACGAACCAATGACCAACTTCATCGCTTGTCAACACTGATTTTATACAACAAACTGACATGTTATATTTAATAGTAAGGGGTCGTCCATAAAATGCGTCACTCAGAATTTCACCTTTTTGGACTCCTTCGTTCCCTTTCGTCTCGCTAAGTCACACTTTCAGGAGCCCCCCCTAACAAATATTACGTCACAAAAACTAGTCCACTCTCCCCTATAAACGGTTTCTTGTAGGTAATTAAAAATAGTAATAAGAATGATTTTGTATTGTAGTGAAAAATTCTAAGAATTTCCAACCTAAGAAAAATATTAAAATAATAATAACCTTTCGCCTTGTCATATCCCGTTACGTTAAGTAATAATAACTCCCGCCCCTTATTTGCGAACGTATTTTATGAACGATCCCCAATAGTCCACTTTTTATCATTATTATTATAAACGATATAATACCAAATGTGGTAATTGTTATCAGAATAAAATAAGTATTTCTTTTACAACGCCGATATTTGTTCGGTTAATTCGTTCTCGCCATAATAAGTTTGTATCTGCCTGGCTGTGACTCGCCGCATATAAAAGTTATTTTGGTCCACTAGATTTTCCTATAACGTATTTTGTTATCTGATTGTAAAATAGGTATACATTTTCTCAGTATTATGATTAAAAACAATACGCAAAATTTTATTAGTTTCATTACTGTGACAAAAAGGAAGGAGAAAAACCAGTAAAATGAAAACTATCAGGAAAATTCATTGTAGCTATTTCTAGGAGGATTATAAAGATTTGGTAAAGTTCCGATTTCATATTCAGATAACTCAATCTTACGTGTCTAACATTTGTTGTTTATCTATTATTGTTTGTGTTGGTTGTTAAATTGTTTAACTGTTTAAGTTTAGCTAACAAAAAGTTTTATTTTATATTCTATTAGTTTCATAGCAAACTGACTCCACGTAATCGATTTTCAATCCATCATAGATTTTTTTTGGATGATCGTACAGATCTGAGTTCATATTAAGAAATGGCAAGTAACCTAACCTAAGATATCTACTATATGCAACACTTTTTTTTGTTTTATTTTTTGTAATGTTTATTAAATTGTTTCTTAATTAGTTTAATTAAATGAAAAAAGTTTTATTTTTTTTTAGTATCATACTAGTCTGACTATATAATCGTCCTACGATTTTCTCAATTTTTCTGAATATTCTGCATCATACGCACATAACGTGTATATGAACAAATAAACTGTATCTACCTACTTATACGCGGTTAGTTGTAAGTAGGAGAGTGAAAATGTGAACTAGTAAGAAAAATTAACTTTATTAACACTGCCTACTTCTTGAGCGACAATATTATACAAACGCATACTTCCTGATGACATTTGTCTATGCTTGTATAATCTTTTACTAATAATGACAATAACAGAGTTTTTTTAGAGCAAATGCCAACGATGAATCGTCAATTTTACGATAATGAGTACGTTGATTAAGATGTAGTTAAATATTAAAGCATACAGTTACAAAGTTGCGTAACATCCT